AAAAAAAAAAAAAAAAAAAAAAAAAAAAAAAAAAAGTGTAAAAAATAAAATCCCCTTCTTTCCATGAGAGCAAAGCATTGCTTCTAGCTGTTCTCGAAGGAGGAACTGTTTCCTAATGGGTTGGCGTGGGTGTTTGCGCCTTCCGTTTGCAAGGAGGGGGAAATGGGACTAACTCTGGCTGCTCCCAGTTGATTTCTGGCAAGTTTGTGGTGTCCTTCCCCATCTGAACACATTATAGCTGGAAGCCTTCCATAGGGGCCTCAGGCTGCTGGAAGATGAATTGCTGCTGGTTCTCGTCTACCTGGGGAGCCAGGTTGGAGTCGTCATCCTCTACTCCAAAGTAGTGCTCAATCAAATCAAAGGCCTTCTGGTAGATTTCCTGGTTCTCATGGCTCTGCAGGAACTCTATTTTATCCAAGCCTTAGGAAAGAGAAAAATGGAATGTGGCAAGACTGATCAGAACATCCATACTATTCCCGGCCCCCATCCATCCTTCACCCTTTCAACTGTTTGGGGCCACAAGACCACCATTTGTTAAGCTTGCATTTTGCCCAGAGTTAGAATATCTAAAAAAACACTAGCTCCATTACTCCAGAAGAGCTTTTGGATTGAATCTCTCTCCCAGCCCATGTTTAAAGGGTCCAATTAAAACTTAGTAAGATGAGTTGTTCCTATTTGGAGGATACACCACAAATCAGAAGTCTCACAGGCCAGATCATTTACAGAGCACCAACAGTGCATGAGGCACTTCAGACTAAAAAGGAAGACAGGTCCTTGCCCCAAAGTGCTCACATTCTGGAGAGACAGAGGAGGAAGTGGGAAGAGAAGTGAAGTGATAAGACTAGACTGTGATCTCTCCAGGGTAGGAACTGACTTCTCTTGTTTTTCATTAAGTGACTAGCACACCTTTGGGCTCTGTAAAAAGTGATTTTTATGCAGGTGTCTTGTTAGTACCTAAAAGAAAATTATGGAATTGTCATTCGTTTTGCTGACGGGCAGCCCTAACTTGGGACATCAATGATGCCAATTTGTGAGAGCCCCAACTTTATCTTCAATCACCTCCAGCATCTTGGATGCAAGAGACTTCTGGTCCAAGGAATCCATTTGGCACTTATACCTTCCCTGGTACTCATCCTAGCTACCCGTAATCACAGAATGCAACAAGCCACAGAGTGTGTGCTTATACAGACTAACTATTGGGGTAAAACAGCAGTTAATCCAGAACTTCTAGCATCCCTCATCTCATACCCATTTGAAGTTCGGAGGAAGTGGACAAACACTTTCAGCAATAGAGCGTAAGCAGCCTCTAACAGTTGTTCTCAAACTTTCCCCCCACGGACCACTTGATAATTGCGGAGGGTCTTGGCAGATCACTTAATGATCTTTCCAAATGTTGTTTGTACCGTTTGCTAACTATTGTAAAGCGCTTTGGATAAAAACGCTTTATTAAAAAAACCTTAAACTTTTGTTCTACAAAAGAAAGCACACAACTCATGTTTTAATACCAGTAGTCTTACCTTTCTAAGGCAATGGATGTGCCCTCTCCCCTGCCATGGCAGCATGGGGCTGGGAAGGGCGGGGGGGGGTGTCTCCCCCACCACAGAGCTGAGGCTGGGAAGGAGGGGGGGGGTCTCTCCCCAGCAGCTGCAGCCCTGGAGCTGGGGAAAGTGTGCTCGCTCTGGCCACCACAGCCCTTTGTCCCCCAAATTTGCCTCACCCCACTGCCCCTTCCCACCTACCCCCTCTTCCACCCCAAGGCCACCACCTCACATGTGCGTCCTCTTCAGGGTCCAGACACCTAATCAGTCGAGCCACGCTTGCGTGGCTCCATAATAAGGTGGGTGGCCCTTCATTCTCTCATGTGTGGCTGCCCAGGCACGCACCTGAGAGGGAACTATCTGCAGACCACCTGAATGGAGCTCATGGACCACTGGTGGTCCACGGACCACAGTTTGAGAACCTCTGCGGTAACACACATCCTGCATTACTTCCTCCTGGGAACAAGTCACAGCAGCAAGGCCAGTGAGAGCCACTCACCATAGGCTTCCTCAATGAGGCTGCAGTAGGGGTTGATGCCAGTGCCACTTTGCTTGGCCTCCTGCTCACCGAGCCGCAGGATATTCTCCAGGCCATTCAGGGCCACTTGAACAATCTTGGAGTCCATGACAGTCAGCAGGTCACACAGAGGTTTGATACAGCCTAGGTTTACCAAGTACCTGAAGAGAAGGCACAGGGAAGACAAACATTCCATTTATCAAGAAGGAAGGTTAAGTAACATTGTGACATGCATTTAGGTTCAAAGGGACACTGTCAGGTTTAAGGAAATTTGTATTTTAAAAATATTGCCTAACAGGTAACATCCTTTTCACCATTAGCTCTCGAAGCTGGGTGTTTAAATTAAACCCTTTAACCTCTAACAACCAGGGCCCTTATTTACAATGTGTTAGCACTCAACTCCCATTGAAGTCAGAATCCAGATCTATTAAGGTGCCTGACTTTATAGGCAGGCAAGTTTTGACGTTCTAGTCTGGTTTGTCCAAGCTGCTTAAACGACACAAAGTAAACTATGAAACTGGAGTCATCTGTATCGCTTGTTTATAGTCACATGCACTATTTAAATCCCACCACAAACCTCCACTGAAATTTAAAAGACATTTGCATGGGTCTTAAATTTTGCAGCATATTTTTAAATTATTTAGCCTATAATTAGCCAGGTATTTATACTCTCTGATACGGTGAAAGATTTATACCCAACATCTGTTTAAATTTAGACTTGCAAAATTATTTGTGCATTTCCTACACAGGCTACAGAAAAACAAAGTTAACACCACTAATTCACCTGCATAGAGTCCATATTACATTTTTCCTGGGTAAAGCACACAATACTGGCAAAGTTATAGGGGCACCTTGTAATGCTGCTGCTTCTATTAGATGCACGCTTAACAGAATTTTAAAGACAGACATGTACTTTGAATGAAGCAAATCAGAAAGGGTTTTAAACCCAAGTGCAAGTACTGATGGATTAGGAAATTAAAGTACTTCACTGGGTTTTGAACTGTATCAGAGCCAGGAGTGTGAGCATATGCATGTCAGGTACGTGACACAGACCAGATACTTCCAGAATTAGACTGCATGGTCAAGATGCTAAAGACTTGTAAGTGCATCCTTTGTGTGGCACAAGATTTTTAAATAGATACTGTTTAAAAAAAAAAAAAAACAACCTCAAATGTAGCATAGTTATATAAAAAACAGTTACACTAATCTATAGCTCGGACTTTGAACTATGAACAATGACTCTTCTGGTTCTCAACAGCTATAGTCTCGATGATGAATACAGAAGCAGCACCAGTAACTTATCCCTACTCAAATGGCTTTCCAGCAAAAATGTAGTCTCTTCATTGAAAGAATTAGAGCCTAGAGAAAGCTATAAATACATGCTGGATCTCTGAATAGGTCTTGGAGCTTCTTTCAAGGCCAAGGTACCCAGGAGTCGATGGATGGATGGCCACAAATGTGGATGGCAAACTGATTGTACAAATTTGCTATAGCTTCATGGGGTCAGAGACAAAGTACACATAAAAACAGCCTCTCAACGTACCTGATCTGCTCTGGGGTTCCTCCTGATGTCGCATTCGTGATGGCCCAGGCTGCCTCTTTCCTTGTGCGGAATTCTGCTTTCTGTAAGATTTCTATCAGCACTGGGAAAATGTTTGCATCTATGACTGCCTGAAGGAAGAAGAGAGAAGCAGCCTTTAGGACAGGCCAAGCGATTCCTAAAAAGTTAGCAGGCTCTGGGAACAGAAACCTATAACCTTTTCAGTGATCCCCCACCTGCTTCTCCTACCATGTCCTGTAAGTGTAAGATTAAGTTTACTATCCAAGAACTTAATCTCCTATTATTGCACCAATACCAAAGTCAGTCTTTGGTCACTGTGTGCATCTGTTTGGATTTAGGCCCTTAGAAAGGATAATTACAATCAAATGCTGTACACCAATTGAAAGGCATTATTCTAGGTATACATCTGAACTTTGGAACCCCAATGAAGAGGCAGATTAATCCCCATCTCCTCAAGCTCACTCAGTGATTAGACATTTAGAGCATGTTTCAGACCAGGCACCATTTGTGGGCACAGTTAGTGTCACTTACATGTCTAACTATTGTTGTGGGGGCAGTCAAGTAGAACAACAACACTAATTGTGCTTGCAAATAACCAGAGAAAAAAGGGAAGTCCAGGGTGTAAAATGTGGCCTTTAAACACCAACTAAGAATCACATAAGCTTTGTTTTAATGGTGCTCCATGGATCCAAGAGTGTTGCAGGTGGGCCTGGCAAGGATTCTGGAAACTTTACCTGTATCTGAGCCCTGTTTCCAGCTGTGATGTTAGAAATGGTCCAGCAAGCTTCCTTCCGGATAGACTCTTTGGGGCTGCTTAATAAATGAAGCAGGCAAGGCAGAGCTGAGCAGTTCAGGATCACCTTAAGAGAAGAGTACAGGATAGGATGACACCATTCGCCTTCCTCCACTTCCATAGTGTGGATACTTTCAGCACATCTTTACTGGATTCTTATGGGGAAAAATATTTTCTTCCAACATTTTCCAGAAACTCCTGCCACTGAATGAGGTGTTCCATTAGACAGCAGCAGGAAGAGAATGCTTTTCCTATCTCAGAGAGGCATGTGTAGGATCAGACATCCCAATTGCAAAGTGTTCTACCAGGAATGCACTCTGTGTGGTTCAGGAGGCAGACAGAAGACAAGCCTCCCTCCACTGCATCCTGCTCCTCATCTCCTGTTGTAGCAGAGCTCAAGGAGGAGGAGGCGGCAGAATATGTCATCCCTAGTTCTTGGATGCTGGAAATGAGAAATGTCAATGACTGGAGTCCTGAGACTTGTCTCCCTACACAAACACTGGCTACAATGAGATACGTGTATACACTATATTGTTCCCAAGCACCAATACACAGAAGGGACTTTTGTTGTTGTAGCTAAATCTTGAGCCATGCCATCATGGCTCAATTCATCTTATGGGCAACCCTGTAGGTTGAGCCATTCCTGTTTTGATTAAGGGGTGGGTGATCTAAGCTAGATTTCATCTTCTAGTGGCAAGCCTAGAAATCTGAGCACAGATCTGTCATGAGAACTTTACTCCCTCCTCTTAGTGATGATCTGGGTTTTTATCCGAGACATTTTTAACGCTCCCTCCTGCTCAAACACTGAATATGAGAAGACCTAGTCACATCCCACTCACCTGGGTCTGGATGTCATCACCTGTCACAATGTTGCCTACAGCTCGCAAAGCTGGAGAAGCTACTTTATAATCATTGTGCCTGCAAGAAAGAGGAAGGGAAAGAAACATCAGTCCAAGTCCTTTGTAACAGAATCCCTCCACCCTCTTCACCCCCCATTTAGTTAAAATTCCACCATCAGAAGCACACAGCAACATGTGTCCAAAACAAAGACAGTCACTGAAAGAGCAAGGATTGTGTCACCATAAGAACATTTTGTCCTCTTATAACCATAAGCTTCATCATGGACCACTTCCAGTCACCTTCAAATCACTCCTAACTTTAGTCTTTCATGCCCCTCCTCACTGTTGTGGCATCCAATTAACAGTAACCAGAACACTCCTGAAAATGCATTTATTTTTCAAACCCTCAAGATGCAATGCAAATGAAAGCCATCTGCATTAGACAACACACAAACTCATCAACAGATCTAAAATAGAGCAATGACTACAGATTGTTCAATGGATAAATATTACAGGAGTGTCAACAAAAGACAAGTTTCTTTGGAAAGTGCTGTATTTATTCTGTTATTGATCCTTTTCTTCTAACATTATCATAGAGCTAACAAGAGATTACTTTAAGCTTCCATAGAGGAGTTTAAAGCAGTAGAGCAGCACAGTGTACGGTCTTAGTCTGGCATCAATACCATAGCCTTTCCCCTTCATGGGTTAGGCTAGTCTCAGGACCAGCATGGTCTTGGTGTATCAGGCTCTTCCTAGCATAAGGCACTACAGCTACTCTTCCAGCACTATACAGAGACTTTCCCCCCTGTCCGATAGGCCAACACAACCCATGTCACATATTCCCATATACCCAGGGATACTAGATAATCCCTCTGACACAAGCAGCCTTAGTTTTCTGCCCATTGGGCACCAATTTGAAAACGTTAGTGCTGTGGTGAGCACAAGACAAACCCATATTCACATGGGCTGTTCGGTCCAAGATCTTTGCCTCTTATGCAGGGCAACACACTTACATTAACAGCTCTACCAGTCGCCGACACACCCCGGAGTCTATTACTGCTTGGATTTTCTCATTGGGGCCATCTGATAGGTAGGAGAGTGCCCAGCAGGCATCTGCCAACAAGTCGGAGTCACTGCTGAATAATAATCGGGATAATACCGGCAAGCAAGGAGACACCTAAAATAAGAACAAACAACCCCCACCCCAGAGAAAGAGTTTAGAAAAGGTTCCTTCAGAAGAGGCAAGGCAGCTTTGTGTGCAAGCTATGCCAAATGTCAGTGTGTGTGAATGATGAACTGGATGCCATCCTGTGGGCGGGTGGGGTTCTCACCTAGGATTTCTAAACCCACCATGATTAACAGCACCAAAGAACTGGTTCAAGTAACATCAGAAACCAAAAAGTTTCCATTCATACATGTGTTACATAGGACCTTACATATATTGTTCAGGGGCCAGTTGTCTGACAAAGTGTTGAGAATTGTTGATGTAATGGGGGTAGTTTTGGATATACAGGTTTCTACATAGTTCACATAACCTTGTAGCAAAGGAGATTCATGTTACAACAGGGCCTCTCCAACGCTCACTAACCTAGCATATAAGGGGTCATCCCTCTCCAAAACTAATATCCAGTTATAAGCTTTTTATCATTCTTTATAAAATGAGCAACAGCTGGACTGTTTGCAGCTTGGATGACAAGCACTCTTCTCATGAAAGAAAGCCACCTCATTCCCTGCCCCTTCGATAATCTTGAACAGCCAGTTCTGTCGACAGACAGCTACCCAAACAGTCACCACCATACTTGGTAACCTATGTAACAGTGCACAGCCTTACACATATTTCTAACTATCCATCATTGCAGCTTCTCCAGCCTTATCAAGGGAGATGTCAAGTAACAGACCTTAACCACAGCGTTAACCAAAATAGGGAGTAAAGGTCCTCCAGTCCTGCTTAACGTTCATGCTGTTACTGACCATCTTTTTTAGAGGACGGGGACACCAAACGGAAGCGGTGTGGAGAAAAGAAGGCCTTCCCTGGGTAATAAGTAAGTCTGCTGTGAAGGAGTTCTATAGTTTGAAGTTCACAGTTTGTGAACAATTTGGAACAAACTCCAAAGTTTTGAGTTCTCACTCAAGAGAATGGAGCCCCAGCTCTGGGGCAGCCTGCAAGGCCTAGACCAGGGGTGGGCAAACTATGGCCCACAGACTGGATCCGGCCCCTGAGCCATTTTAATCTGGCCCTCAAGCTCCCGTTGGGGAGTGGGGTCTGGGGCTTGCTGCGCTCCAGCCAGGGAGCAGGGTCGGGGGCCGCTCCACCCGGCTCCCAGAAGCAGCAGCATAGCCCCCCTCTGGCTCCTATGCATAGGGGCAGCCAGGGGGCTCCGCATGCTGCCCCCGCCCCAACCACCACCCCCGCAGTTCCCATTGCCCGGGAATCATGGCCAATGGGAACTGCAAGGGCGGTGTCTGTGGACAGGGCAGTGCGTAGCAGAGCCACCCAGCCACACCTCCGCATAGGAGGTGGGGTGGGGGAGGGGGACATGGACATGTCACTGCTTCTGGGAGCCATTTGAGGTAAGCACCACCCAGAGCCACCCACCCTCCGTGCCCCAACCCCAATTTTGTATGGCAGGCCATGAATGCTCACAATTTCTATACCCAGATGTGGCCCTCAGTCCAAAAAGTTTGCCCACCCCTGGTCTAGACCTTGGGGTCTCTGACTCAGAGGCAGTCCAGCAAGTGGACTGCCAAGGAACCCAGGGATGGAAAGCTAGCAGGAAACAGGCATGTTTCAAAAGCTGCCTAGCAGCCCGTGTCCCATCAGGCCCCTGCCTTATTCCCCGCAGAACTTCATCTGTCTCCATCAGATGTTTAGACAGATCAGCAAACGCCAACAAATGTTTAGTCTGAATGTTTCTGATCGACCTCTAGAGGTAGCAGACCTCAGGGTCTTGCTGGGGTTCCCTCTCCACAACAGCTTCTGTTCCCATTAACAGGAAAGGATTCATTCCTCACCTTGTCAAATTCAGGTGGTGGGTTCTTCCCTCTGCACAAGTTTGATAAGGCCCAGACAGCATTTCGAGTCATAGTCAACCTGGTGGACTTGGTGAGGAGCCTAAAAAGAAAATCACCAGCTATTATACTCCCCGGTTAAGTCAGTTTGAGTTGCCTGTAAACCAGCACGATTCAATATGAAGGAACGCAATAAGAGTCCAAGAAGTTCGAGACAGCTGCACCCACTTGCTAAGCCCAGGTCTGAAAAATTCAGATCATGCTAATGTTGCATATTTCATGAGCCTCACGCACGGATCACGAAGAAAGATGAATTGTGGCTACCCCTAGGGCAGAAACAATAGCTGTTTAACAACACAACTCTGAACAGGAAGCATATACTGTCTTCAACTAAAAGTGCAGGGGGGGAATTTAGGTTGGCAGAATGCGATTTCCCACGATTGAATTTGGCTAACACATCCAGAGAAGCACCCACACTCTTATGAAGAGGTTCATGGGATATTCAGTTACCACAAATGATCAGGACCCCATTTTTAGATCTCATCTGAAGAGATCAACAGCTTTAGGCCTCCAGAATACTAGTTCAGTACTGACCCAGGAACAGAGCTATTTGCAATACAATCAAATGCCATTTCTTGTGTGGTGGGGTGTTTTTTTTTGGGCGGGGGGGGGGGGGGGCAAGACTACAACTGTACAGAAATTATGGTGAAAGATTTGAAAATGCTTTCAACAAACTGGGATTTCTGCTGGTAGCAACCTCATTGCCAACACTGATAGTAGGGAAGATTTAACCTGTAGTAAAGTACATTTCAGGAGAAAACCAGTTTTTAAAGAGCAAAATCTTTAACCTTCTTAGAGGGCCCAGCAATTCCAGTTGAAATTAGAAGCTTTGTTCTCTAACACTTCATGGTTTATACAGAGCAAGAAGTTCCCACCCAGCTTTTAGGACTCTGCATGAAAAAAAAAGATGGGGAAATGTGGTACTTTCCTCTTGAACCATGACCAGCTCTGTGCACCTGTCACAATCACCACCACAAATAAAACCCATCCCTTAGCTCTTGGACAGCAAAGTCACCAGCTTAGCCTCTAGGAGCCTGAAGTCAGCAGCTACAGTAAGAAGAGTCTGTTGACTTGCTTGCACCACCTGTGGCAAAGCACTTATCTTGCCACTAGAAGCAGCATCAGTTCACCCAGAATAGGATGGGGCAATTTAGACAGTTTTGAGTGTAATTAATGTGGCTAGTACTTGAAAGCCCTCTACCTAGGTGAATCTTCCCATCTCCATTTCTAGTGTGCTGAAGCAGCTGTCAGGACTTGAGTGTTAAACAAACAGAGGTAGAGGGCACAGTGCAAACTCCTCCTCCTCCTCAACCCTGGGAAGACCTCAGACTAACATCAGAGGGGTAGTCTGAATCTGTAAAAAACAGAGGGTCCTGTGGCACCTTTAAGACTAACAGCAGACTTGGGAGCAAGAGCTTTCGTAGGTAAGAACCTCACTTCTTCAGATGC